ATTCACATTCTAGACAGACGAGACTGAAACATCTCGAAGAACCCAAAAAGAAGTCCAGTTGCTCCTGTTGAAGCACTAAGAAAAGTTGTACTGCGATAATGATTTCCATCTCGTGTGAGCAAATACCTGCCCTGTGTGATTGTTATCTTCCTGTGGTTGGCCAGCTTGGGTGAGGTGTAGCTGTACTCCTGGGAGGCGCTGCTCATAGCCATCAGACAGTCCAGCTCAGCGGTGAGATCCAGAACCTACACGACACACACATTAAACACACTGAATGTCCTTAACAGAGCGGCAATGACAGCTGCTTTAGTACAACGCACATGTACAATGGACCTGCCTATTTGCAATCTTGTCACCATGGTGCATGAAAATTGAGACGGACGGCGTCTATTTAAGCATATTTTCGATTAACGACAAAGAGATTGTGTTGCTGTGGTTGTAGATCGTTGTCGAGGTGTTTTTTTTCTTCCATTTATTAACACTATGAAACCGTGAGGTGAGTGTTTAATTCTCCAAAGAGAGGTTTTGGAAGCAGTATTGCCTTCATAAAGCTTAATAAGTTTGGGACCTTAGAATCCCTCTCTGGTTATTGATTTTACACATAAAACTCATATCTGTCTATCAATGTTACATATTAAAAAGGTTATTGCTTCTATCTATCCTCTCATACCTCCTCCTATTCGCTGCAGCTGGAGCACAACAGCTCACCTACTACTCTGCTCAAATGCTGTGCAACTAGTCAATGCAAAGTTGTAATATTGGATCCATTCAGCCATATATGTCGAACTGGATTCTGAAGAAGGACAATGACATGAAAAGCTCCACCCAGGATTGGGTGGCAGGATTGGTTCCTTAACTTTGTCACATATGAAACCCCACAAATCTAAACTCTAATAATGTGTCTTTAAGCACCATATGAACATGTAAACAAGGTCAAAACTTGATAGTTACTGGAGGGGGTCCTTAAGACAAAAAAAATGGGAATTTGTTCTTTGATATTAACTGGAGCTGAGCTGGAGTCCAAACCATGCAAATCAGAGCCAGACCAGAAGTACACAAACACATGTATATGCTTAACATGTTCAGTGCCAAACACTTGTCATAGTTCTGCAGTAGTTGCTCCGTGCGGCTGTTGCGTGCATGTGTGCAGTGATCATCTTGTTGGGTCATAAAATTCAGATAATGAACAGTCACCATTAATACCAGTTCTCATATTTTGCAAATTATTTGGAGGTCCTTAAAATCCATTTAAAAGTATCATAATATCAACGTATTCATCACATAAGTCATGACTGATTTCTCTCATTAGCTGCTTTTAACAATAAAAATCCTGACAGTAATATCAGTGATCCCGGCTCTATGACTTGATAAAAACCATGTTTTCGACGGTACACTGCAGTGTCGAGGTGGAAAATGCTCAGCCGTGGTGTTGACTGCTTATTTTGCTAATGATGTGTTTTCCAGCTGCGAAAACACAGTCAGTTGTGAGCTCTTAGGCTATCAGTTATTTATATGTTAATTATCCATTTGTTTATTTTATGTTTTTGCATTTTTCTTTCTAGGTTAATGTCAGTGGAGCTACTTTCGACTCGCTCAGCATGTTTGTGTGAAGGTTATATAAGGTTCCCAGAATAGAGGTCCAAAAGAAAAAGGCTTGACGTCCATCTAAGGACATACGTTCTCATCGCTCGGAGGCTTACTGCTTTTGGAAAGTTGGACTCAGCATTTTTTTTTCTTTGTACATGGTATGGAAAACCATCAGTGAGGTTAAACTTGCAAAGCTATGTATAGCTGACCATTGTAAAGGAATTCTTGAGTTTTCTGTTCAAAATAAAAGCTGTTACATCTGTTATTCTCCATATTGTATACAATATTAAATTTACCAGACTAAGCAAAGTGTTTTGGGTTTTTTTTTAAGTGCAACAGTTGCAGCAATTTTTCATGACACAGCATTTGAAAAAATTTTGTCTTTAATGAAGCCCAGTGTTTCGCTTCAATTAATTTAATTGCTATAATCTACTAGGCAGATTCCAATGACAGCTACAAAAGTGTAAACACAATAATGCATCATCTGACTTTAATGCTCATTCTGCCCTCAAATATCAAAACTATCTGCAGTTACAGACTAGCACTCATCTATCAAGAGACAAAAGAGCTTGTAGTGGGTTTGTTTCGTAATCAAAATGAACAACTCACACCAGTAAGAGGAAATAGTTAGTCAGTCACAACAATATCCACCTACACGCAGTAAAAGCTTTACTTTGAGGCCAACAATCGTTCCTCACAGTGACAAAGACTTTAAAGACTAAAACCGGGACATGAATGAACAGTGATGCACACCGACCTTATAAAGGGAGGAGCTTTTCTCGAGAATTGCGTTCTGCAACTGTGTCATCACGGCCGTCTCCATGTCTGAGAAACAAGACGGTATCTTGAAAATCACAGTTTCTAATTGCAAAGACATCAGGAACCATATCAGTGTAATGACCTCTGATGTCACAGTGCAAGTCGCCCAAGAGGTCATCTAGTTCTCTGGTTCTCTGGCTGCGATAGTGCAGTCGGTCCTCTGACAGAAACTAGCAGGCGGGAAATAAACACACAGATAATGCAGACTAGAAAAGCGCACGAGCAATTTTGCTGTCAGACAGGAGCATAAACACACCATGAAATCGAGCCCCTCTATCTCAAAATCCTCTTTCTCCACCATGCTGGGGAGCCGAGGCACAGAGAGCAGGAATCCAATCTGTAAGGAGAGTTAAACACTCGGATGTGAGCAGGGATTTGTCAGAGAAACAACTTTCACTCTCTGTTAGTGTGAATCCAAGCAATAATAGAGCATGTGCCACATAAATATCTAAAAATGTAGTTGTGGGAAAGCTCTACGTCAAGATCAGACCAGAGGGATGTAGATGACACAGCAGGAGGGGATTTGAGCGTCCAGATGTTCAAGCTCTTTTCTGGCAACATCTGTGAGGAAGTCTGACAGTCCCATCATCTTCCTCTTTTCTGATGGAGGGAAAGAGTGTCACTATGAGTTGGGCATATAAAGGTCACATGGGTGTTATGAGTTCAACAGTAACTTTACTGCACTTACTCTCATCGATGGTAGGATCCACATTGGGTTTGACGGTGAAGCGATTCTCTGCTAAGCTGGTTTCAAAATCCACCTCAAATCAGAGATATTGTCTCATTAACGCTCATCACAGGCCCAACAAAGCACTGCCACAAAAGCCAGATAATCTTACTGAATGTACAGTTAAGTCTGAAATTATTCATAGCTGTGTCAAATGTTGATTTAAAGTAAACAACTTTTTCAGCTATAGGTTTCTTCTAGATGGAAATTACTTTAACACGTGACAATTGACAGCAAGACATTGTGTTAAAGATGGTAATGACATATTTCAACTATTTGGTTACTTCTTTGCTAAAAATCACACGTTCAAAATTATTCTCACCAATTGGAATTGTTGCAATTTTTGAGAAAATGCAGCTTCTATACAACTCCAAAAGGTCCTACCAAGAGAGAAACTAAATCCCAGTGGAGACACGCAGACAGACTGTTGGTCACTAGAACAACTGTTGGACTGATGTGGAGGAAAATAAAGACTTTGACATTGATTACTGTTTTTTTTGTGAAAAAATACAATTAATTATTAACATCTCTTACACAATGTCTTACTGTCTTTTGCCACTTGTTTATGTCATTTCCGTCAAGAAGAAACCTCAAATAAAAATTCAATCTAATCAAAGTTTAGAATCCGTGTGAAGAATTCAGGGCATTACTGTAGATATTTTGCGTACTTTCCAGGGGTAGTGTGATTTTAGGGGACACAACTTAAGAACTCACCACTCTGCTGATGAGGGAAGCGATATACTGAAGGTCATCGGAGAACCCTTCGCTGATATCATGAAACAGCTGAACGGACTGAGGCAGGTGTCTCACTGTGTCCCTGATGCACACCGCGCTGTACACCGTCTGACAAACACAACATGTTGTCAGCATTTAACAGAATCTGTCACGTGGAGGGAAAATGTTCGCAGACGAAAACTGTGCCGGAGTTTCAACCTTGTAGACACTCTGCCAGTCAGTCACTTTGGTGTTAGACAGCGACATCCGGCGTAGAAGAGTCTAACAAGCACAAGTAAACCGACCTGAGGTGGATGACACAATATGAGGTAATGGAAAAAGGAAAGTAATGGCTCGGCTTGTTACTGGTATGTTCCTGATGTTGCGTAATGAGGACTGCAGGGTGGTCAGGACGTCTGAATTGCGAGGCGACGTGAAGAAACAAATCACTTCTTGTCTCCGGTGTAACACTGCCAGGTCCTGTGTTGGCCGCAGAAACCACCGACTGACAGAGGACAAGATACACTAAGAGTACTTCTACAAAACAAATAGTACAGTAATGGTTCTGTAATGAAAAATACAGTGGTTTTACATAAATATACATATTTTAGCAAGGAACTGAAATGATGGTTGCAGTTCCAATAAAAAATAAAACAACTAGGATATTTATCTTGTCTTCACAAGAGCTGCAATGATTCATCAATTAGATGTCAACTGTTAAGTTAATCAGCAACTACTTTGACTAACAATCAATTTGACTAATTTTACAAAAAAGAACACTTCAAATTCTGTGATTGCAGCTTTATAAATGTGAATATTTTCTGTTTTTTTCCCCTCCTCTGTGATAGTAAACTGAATATTTTTGGGTTGTAAACAAATCAAATTGTGATCCTGGGCGTTGAGAAACACTGGTCAATGTTTCTATGCAATTTTCTGACATTTTTAGATGAAACAACTAATCATTAAATTGAGAACATAATCAAAAGATTAGTCAACAGCGTAAATAATCTCTAGTTGGTGGCCCAGTTTTCATAAATGCAAGCAGCAATGCGCAAACCTTGAAATAACGGTGACAAACTTTCTGTTTCCTTACAAGAAAAACTCTATTTAGTCTTTGTTGCTTTGGTAAAGTTTCTAACGCTCCAAGATTGAGCAACAATAAATACTTTGATAACTTTGATTATTGGAGCACTTTAGGGTGTCAAAATACCAAAAGTAGTCGTGGTGATTTGTGGCATTCCTGGTAGTATCTGATATTGATTCCCTATACAGACTCTATACATTTGTCACGTCTGTTACAGACATCGGTTTAGTTTTACTGGACCCTGTTGAGAAAAAAAAGCCTGATGTTGTCTTTTGATCAGGTAAAGAAAGGCCCCTTGTTTTGTTTTATTTTGTGAAATCGGACCAAAAGTTTTTTCTTACCGCAGCAGTTTGGAGCCAAACTTGCACCTGCAGCGGTTCAGTATCCCTGCAGCACACAAAAAGAATAAGCATTATTGTAACCACCAACGGATAAGAAAGGGTTGAATAACCTGAAGTGCTGCATACCATAAAGACTGAGTCCTTCCTTTTCCCCTGAATGTAGTTTGTACACTGATGGATGGAGTTCAGATTTGAAGATCTGCAGCACACTGGGAAAAAAAAATCTAAACTCTTTCAATATGTCCTACAAACGTTGATTAAATCTTAATTGTATTACACAAAGAGTTAAAATTACAAAAGATAAAAAACATGGTAAGATCCGAGGCAAGTCTGCTTTCACAAGCATAAAATGATTCAAAATGTGCCAAACAGCAGCAGCCTAGACTTACTTACATACAGTTGAGTGATCGGTGTCACCTTTTACAGACAAATGTTTGAGAAAGGTGCTTTACAGAACAGAAACAGGCCTGGAACACATACCTGTAGGTGTCTCGGTCAATGCACACCACACCTTTGCTATGAGGGGAGGAAACAATGGGAATTTCTGATATGTTTCATTCATGAAAACGTCTGAATGACATGAGGTAGGTTTGGTTTGCGGGCAGACAGACAGTTGATATACTATGAAAACAAAGTGCCACAGATTCATGTCACTGCGGCTAAAAACCTGTGTAGCTAAACACAGAGCTACAAGAAATCACTGCTCATTGTCTTTTAAGGTCCTAATTATTGAAAATGTGTAATCACAGTCCTCTGTGTGTGTGTGTGTGTGTGTGTGTGTGTGTGTGTGTGTGTATCAATCCAATCTCACAGAGTGTAGGCGTGGAACTGCAGGATCGGAACTCCAACACTGCTGTCTTCCAGCTCCACTCCCACTCTCCTCCTGTCCAGACATTTCAGCAGAGCGCCCACTGCCCTCAGCTAACCGAACACACACACACACACACACACACATAAAAATAAATAAAATAAAAATGATGGACAGTTCGTGATCAGTTCCGACTGAACCAGTGACTGATGGATGGGATGATATGCAGACAGCTTTCTCACCATCAGGGGCGAGTCAAAGGAGATGCAGGAGGAGAGGTAGGATATCCTGTCTCTGTCTGAAATGCAGGCGGGCAGGAAAGGCAGATTGGCGGAGAGCAGCCTCTGCTTTCCGACCTCCAAACCTGCAAAATTGGAGCAAGATTGTGGAAAATCATTTTCAGGCAAACGTTCTGCCTAGCAAGTGAAACGGATATTATGCCGGGGCATCTGTTTACCAAAGTCAACATATGGATAAGTGACCACCTCTGGTTTGTAGTGTGGGTTTTGACCTGGAATACAACACAGAGCACTGGGTTCACATTGATTTACTACAGTGTAATCAGTAAAAATTACATAAATCAGTTTAGAGTTAACAGCTATACAGTCACTCTTCTTCCTTATCACACCAGCCACGGCGTCAGACATCCCTAATCTCATTTCTTTCCCTTGACCCAGAAACCACATGTTCCACACCACATGTAAACAAAACTCTCTGACACAGATTTTTTTTCCCCCTCCTCCATGTCAGGATGTTTTGGTCTCCCAGAGCTCACCCAGTTGCTGCAGGTAGCGAGTCATGCAGCGTTCCTGCTTTGCACTGGTGATGAGTACATGAGGACTGACCTCCTGAATGACTGAACAACAGAAAAGAGCACAAATGGTAGTTTACAGACTGGATCTTATTGTTACATTTAACCCATTCAATTAATAAAAAAAATGAATTGAAGCCTGTCTGAGGAGCAAACTGACATTTTATTAAAGGCAGTAGTGCTGTTTACCTCTGGCCAGCAGGTGGAGCTCATGGTTATCAGGAGTGTCCGTCATGTAGTGCAGAGATGAGTCTGCGCTGTCATAGAAGCAGAGGCCCAACTGCCCATGCTGAACCAAAACACTCAGTAAAACCTGGAAATACACACTCATGTAAAGACAACGGTGTGAATCTGAAATAGCTATCACTCTGCTGAACATTTGAGCTTACTGCAGGTGAGTCTTCCTCCTCTTCTTCATCCCCATTAAGGCCAGGGGCACCAAAAACTAGCCCTCCTCCTCCTCCTCCTCCTCCTCCTCCGCTGTGATTTTCCAGAGCTGCAGCCATTAAGAGTTGTTGTGTTTCTGGTAACCTGGTGAATATAATTCAAATATTTATTCACTTTTAGCTTTGTTTTAGTCTTCTGAGAGACTGTTTATCTGCCAAATATTTGACTTTGTTTACCAGCTGGGCCCTGAGTGTGTCTGCTTCGCTGTTTGGTGCTAAGCAGATCAAGCTCTGTGGGTTTTCAGAGCTCCTTCTATGAAACCAGCTGCCTGCTGTCACAAGTGTTGTGCCACATACTGACTGTGTGCTCAATGTCAAAGCTGTATTGCCCAGTTCATATACTCCCACAGCTGTTTTTATCTGGGTCAAAGATTCAAGGATTCAAGGATTCAAAGTCTTTTATTGGTCACAAACACAGTTATGCATGGTATAACGCACAGTGAAATGTGTTGTGTACCTGTTCCACACCAAAACAATAATAAGATAAATAAGATTGAAGAATAAAACACACAAGAATAATAACATGGTAACGCCGCCCTGACGGCAGCAGAGAGAGCAGTCTGTGGCTGTCACTCACAATCTTCTTGCCTTTAACCTGCATCGTTTGGTGTAAATGTCCTGCAGGTTGGGGAGGGTGGTTCTGATGGTGCGTTCAGCCAAGCGGACCACCCTCGTCAGAGCCAAGAAGTCCTGCTGGGTGCCGCTGCCCATCCAGGTGGTGATGCTCCCAGCCAAAACACTCTCAATGGTGAGGTGTAGAAGTTCCTGAGCACCATGAGAGGGAGCTTGAAGTCCCTCAGGCGTCTGAGGAAGTAGAGACACTGTCGAGCCTTCTTCACCAGGGTGTTGATGTGACAGGACCACGTTAGATCCTGCATGATGTTCACACCCAGGTACTTGAAGCTCTCCACTCGCTCCACCT